TTAAAAAAGATTAAACTTTAAAATACAATGCAGCATCCTTTAAAAAGCGCATTACTGCTGCCATTGTGGAGGGATCATCAGACCCAGCATGTCGTGTATGCTATTTGGAAGACCGTGGAATTCCCGCAGGTTCTGATACTGAGGGCATACGCATAGAATGTGCTCGATTGAGGCTGGAGCTCTACAACCGACGCAAGTCCTTTGAAACTGCGTTCCACCGAAATTGTGCGAGATCTTGGTGTGACCGGTCTTCAAACGCGACGCTATCTTTTGATCCCGCTGGTTCAACTGTTCTGTCCATTTCTTCATCGTCCCTTTGATCCGTCTGATGAAGAGGGAGCGGTTTTGAGCCCACTCTGCGTCCCAAGCTTCCCGTACTTTGCTCACGATCCAGCACTTGACATCGTGTAACGGTACTTCGTTGGTATAGCGAGGGGCAGATGGTCCTGCCCCAGCCAGAAGGTCAGCTTCAGAGTTGCCTGGTATTCCGCAGGGCCACGGAACCCAGCAGAACACCGTGTTTGGTGGTGCGGACTTCATCGTCGCCTGTACCCAGGGATGAGTCGGGGCCTCAGATGCCAGGGCTTGTATGCCGCTGTGCGAATCCGTGAGGACCAGGATCGGTCGGTCGGAGAGCGTTGTAGCAGCGATGAAGATGGCAGCAGCTTCAGCAGAGAAGACAGAATATTGCGGTGGTAATCTGCAGCTGGTTGGTGTGATGTTTCCGGCTAGACCGATACCGACTCCGACCCGAGAGCGAGATCCGTCAGTGTATCGGTGAGTGTGCGTGGGATATTTTTCTCCTAACATTTCAGCTACAGTCCTTTTCATCAGTGTTCACTCGGCTGTCGACAAAAGCAGGCCACTCTCGATGTGTGCTACGCGATCGTCTGTTTTCTCGGCAGCAACCATCGTGTGGTCCTCCTCATTGTTCGTCATCAGCAGTTCTTTCGGTCGATGCGTCGTCGACTTTGGAAATCAACCGTTTCGTGATGAGTGTGTGAGTGCTGACCACGTTTTGCGTCCATTGCTGCAATGGACGCTCTCTGACCCTCGTTGGCGTACAACAATTTGCCATACAATGAAACTACTAGAAGCGGCTCCAGTTCTGATGGAGGAGGCTTTTTGGATAGCGGAAGATAAAGTGTTTATTGTGTTGTACCTTTTGACTATAGTTTTAAGATGTATTGTATAGTGACCAAGAATCCTCGGCTCTGTAAAGTTAATTCGGTTGAGCCTTATCAAATAAATTAATAAACAAAAAAAAAAAAAGTCCTTTTCATGGCCACGGAATTGTCTCCGGTTTTGAACCTGTCCTTAATCCAGCTTTCGATTTTCGGTAATAGTGTTTGCCAGCTATGTGCCACTGGGGGGAGATCTTCGTGGGTAGCCGTGCGGAGGAGTCTGTTCCCCTCGTCGAGGAGGAAGATCTCTTGATTTCCGGGTGTCTTTGAGATGAAAGCAGCGGCTTTGGTTGCGATAGCTGCGGTTATACGGAAGCGGAAAGGCAGGATGCCTGCGTCGATGCATACAGCGTCAGCGGGCGTGAGTGGCAGCAGGCCAGAGACAATCCGGACGTAGGTCTTGTAGACAGGTGCTAACGTAGCTAAAAGCTTATCCGTTGCGATGCAGGTAATCTCCAACCCGTATAGAAGGCGACTGTCGATAATTGCACTCGCCACGTGAAAACGGATGCTGCGGTTGTTCGATCTATTCGGTCGGGAAATGGTCCGGATGAGATTCACTCGGCTGCGACAATTTTTCTTGACTGCATTGAAATGCTGTTCAAAGTTGAGGAATCGGTCAACGAGAACTCCCAGAACTCGGACGGTCTTCTTCAGCGGTATGGACTGGTCGTCGATTTTGATCGGTGGTTCGCTAATTCTGTGTCGAGAAGGGCTGATGCTTTTAGAGACTGATAATTCAAAGCCTACCTGGCAACGGCGGAGACTGCCGCTTGGGCTCTCATCTTTGTACGTACTGGCGTGGGTTCGGTGGTAATGATGATGATGTCGTCGGCGTAGACTAACACATATATGTTGTTCGGTAGTTGACGGAAGACTCCGCTCATCGCCACGAGGAACAGGGTAACGACGATAACCGATCCTTGTGGGACACCCGTTTCCTCGGGGAAAGCCGGGATTTGGTGTTGCCGACTGCGACTCGGAATGAGCGGTTGGACAAAAAGTTCGGGATGAAGTGAACGATGGGTCCGTTAAGACCCCAGTCGATTAATTGCTTAAGGACGAGGGGCGTCCACGTTCTGTTGAAGGCCTTCGATAAGTCGAGCAATACTATCTCGGTGTGCAGACCACTGTCGTAGGCGTTCTTGAGAACTTCCCCTTCTTCTTCTTCTTCTTTGTATTTCAAGCTTATTGCTTAGTACATGTTAGCTTATTGCGTGTTCTCAACTAGTGTTCTAAATGCACTTCCTCAGTTATTAATTGAGAGCTTTTCGATGCCAATTACCAATGCATGAATTTGTATATTGTGTGGCAAGCACAATGATACTCTATGCCCAGGGAAGTCGAGTAAATTTCCTACCCGAAAGATTCCCTCGACCGGACCGGGAATCGAACCCGCCGCCTCCGGCTTGGTAATACCGTGCCTTTACTGACTAGGCTATGAGGCCCCTAGAACTTCCCCTAGGGTTGCGAAATAGGTGGACGTTCCGAAACCTTGTCGGAAAGCGTGCTGTTGGTGATCAAGGAAATTTCCAGCTTCGAGGTGTTGCTTCAGTCTTCGATCTAGGACTTTGGTCATGCAACATGAGAGCGCTATTGGACGGAACTTGCTGTCTTAACCGGTGGCTACCCCGGCTTTCGGGATGGGAACTACCAAGCTTTCCTTCCATACTGCTGGGTACCCGTTAGTGAGCCAGAGCTTGTTGAAGGGGTCTAGCATCCGTAGCTGTCATGGTACCGGTAGCCTCTTGAGTAGAGGATATCCGATTTCGTCGGGTCCCGCCGACTTCCCGTTGCTGCAGCGAAGGGCATGCTGCAGTTCCTGCCAAGAGAAAGCTTGGTTTATAACGGTACTGGTGGTGTCGGAGGGTACTACGAAGTCTGCGACGGATGCGGTTGATGGCTTGATATTCTGCTTGAACTAGTTGTCATACTTGTCAATGGTTGCGAGCTCGGCGAAGTAGGTACCGAGTTCATCAGCTACCGTTTCCGGATCGGAAACCGTGGAATTATGTACCTGAACGTGAAGTGGTGTCGTGCGTCGTTGCGTCGTCATTATAGGCAATCAAATCACATAAAAAAACTAATATGCATGGACGAAGTCTCTCTAATAAAGGAAAAAAAAAATGGATTTACTTGATAATATGATATTACAAGCGCACTTTTGGTCCACATCATCACTGATCTGGGAACGTTAGTGTGCATCTTTCCAATGAGGTAAAGCTCCAGATCAACCCTGGGACCTGCAACCTAGTAGCCTAATCAAACTACCACAAGGTTTTGCCAATCAGTTGCCCTACAGCTGTCTACAGCAGCAGTCGATTTTTTATTTCGTTGTGAACCACACGATAGCCTGTTTTCGAGACTCGCTATTATATAGTTGCTCTTTGTTCGTTGCTAGCAGTTCAGTGCCTTTTGTTGCTACGGTGCAAGATGTGTGAAGTAAAAAACACCATCAAGTTTAGCTTCAGCCATTGTGATGCCAAACCAAACATCGGAGAGATAGTAAATTTCGCCAAAGCACTCGACGCGGATCCGGCTGAAATGGAAGCTGTTTATCGCATTGGTGAGGAAAGGGGAGTCTTCATGAAGTTCAAATCAGAGGAAGCGATGCTCCATGCTCTGACATTCAATTCGGAGGATTTAATCTTCCATTATGCGAATGGAACGACGGCAAAGGTACGCATGTCGCATGCTGGTGAATTCATTCAATATGTGCGTGTGTATGACTTGCCACCAGAGGTACCCGACAACGAGCTGGATAAAGTGCTGGGGAAATATGGGAAAATTAAACGCATCATCCGGGAGAAATTTCCAACTGATCTGTGTTTTGAGGTGTATACAGGGATACGCGGTGTATATATGGATGTGAAGAAGGAAATCCCCACGTCATTACATTTCTTCAATCGCAAAGGAAACATTTTTTATGATGGCAACAAAGACAAATGTTTTCTGTGCAAGGCGGACGGACACCGGAAGCTTTCCTGTCCCAAGCGGAAGGCTCGGAAGGAACCGGAGAAGCAACTGAAGGAAAAAGGAAAGCAAAGTGAAAGAAAACAACACAGCAGCAGTACGTATGCTGGTGTAGTGGTGGAAGGTGCGTCGTTTGTCATTAGCGATCAGGAAACGGATACGGGGTTGGAGATGTTGAATGCAGATAACGAAATGGACGTGACTACCCCGACGACCGACGAGAGTAGCGGAGAGCATGCAACGGGAAACGATGTCCAGAAACAGCAGCAGCGATCACGATTCGGGTTCAATGAAAATGAGGAACAAATTCGGGAAAGAAAGAAGTTGCGTGCACGGGAGAAGATCGCTTTGTCGCCGCTTCGATCGCCACCCAGAAAAATGATATGATAAAATATATTTGTACATATTTTTCTTTTGTATTTTGAGTACCATAATTGGTATTCTATGTTACTCGGCTCCGCTAAGTTATTTTTATAACATTTGAGCCTGCCAAATAAACGAAATGAAAAAAAAAAAAAAGGTTTTGCCAATGCCCAAGGATGAAGAAAATCGATCAAGCAGATAGCAACTTTTAACGTCAGACATCGATTTTTAGCTTCTACATGTCAAGCATATGTCAAACATATCCATATATCTCGATGAACATATATACGGGTATGTTTGACGTCCAAAATTACGGCGGACATCGATTTGCAACCTCTACATATTGTCCCCGTTTCGAAGATATGCATATCGAAGGGTATTCGATACGTTTTTCGAAATCGGAACTGTCATAATATTAGATTCCAAAACGACAACGGACATCCAGTTTTTACCTTTACACGTCGTCCCGTTATGTTGGCTATCTGACGATTATCACTGGAGAAAAAAAAACCACCGACGAAAGAATAACAATTTTAAAACGAGGAAATTTCTCACACAATCATCGAACGCAGATGGATCCAATCAGAAAAAGGTGTACATAATTTTATAATCTTAACACGTAAACAGCATTACATTTTATACTTACTCTACCTTAACGCCAGCTGGAAAACGATGACCCTCCGAATTGCGGTGGTTTATCGGCCTGCTGCTGGGCAAGGTTACCGAAGGAAACCCCCGACGAAGACGATCCCAGTTGCTCGAACAAATTGTTCGATTGACTCGACGGACTCAGCGGCGCTTGACCGAAACCGAAAGCTGTGTTCCCGAAGCTCGGTGAACTACCGAACACAGGACTTCCTCCGAACGCTGGTGCACCTCCGAATGCTGGAGTTGCTCCGAACGCCGGTGTCCCACCGAATGCCGGTTTATTGAACGCTGATGAGTTCAGAGATCCGAAGCCGCTCTGAGCTACACTGCCAGCTGTGGGTGAACTGAAGGCTCCACCGCTGGGTGCCGGTGATCCAAAGCTGTGGAACAAATTCAGCACGTTAAAAGGTCCAAAGGGCAATTCAAGGCAAATAATTACCTGCTACTTCCAAAGCCGGGAGTGCTACCAACTGCACCTCCGAAAATAGACTGTCCCGATTGCGGTGGCGAGCTAGGTTGTCCGAAAGCCGAAGAACCAAATCCAGTGGCTGCAGCACCAGGGGTGGCACCTCCGAAAATGTTGCCAGTGCTTGTATTTGCAGCAGCACTACTACCGAAAGCTGAAGTACCTCCAAAGATCGATCCCCCAGCAGCCGATGGACTAGTTTGCACTGATCCAAAAAGTCCTCCGCTTGTGCTGCTGGTACCTCCGAATATGCTGGAGGCCGTGGTTGCTGGGGCCGTAGCAGTACCTGCGGCGCCAAACGGACTTGTAGGTTGCTGAGTGGCTGCTGAGGTACCTCCAAAGATCGAACCGGTACTGGCAGCCGGACTAGCTATCGATCCAAACAGATTCCCAGTTGAGGTACTTCCGGTAGTGGCACTGAACGGCGAACTTGTACTAGAAGCAGTAACCGTTCCGAAGAGACCAGTTCCAGCCGTCATAGGGATAGCTGCAGCTGCAGCAGTTGTACCGAAGATTGAAGTTGGCTTCGACGCATCCGTTGTGACGGCACCGAACGCAGAGCTAGGAACGAACATTGTTTCCGATTTTGGAGTCGAAAAGGAACTGCATCCGAAGATGTTGCCTGAAGCTGCTGGGGAAGCCGCAGCAGCCGATGGAGAGCAAATGTTGAATGATCCAAACAAATTGGATGTTGCGTCGTAGGTCGATGTTGGAGAAGAGGCGGAGGTCACTGCAGGAGCGGAAGACGCCGGCGTTGGCGACGGAGTAACGACGGAACCAAATGAGAAATCGGACGGTGTAGTTGCGGTTGTGGTCGTAGTTACAACCGTAGAAGATGTGACTGCTGGCGTGGTAGATGCAGTCGTTACCGTTGACGAAACTGGAGTTGCTGTAGTAGAAGTTACCGTACCGAAAATAGGCGTCGCTTCGACGGTTGAAGTGTCTGATTTAACGGATAAATCTGTTGCTTTGGTAGCGGTTCCGAAATTAAAGCCACCACTTCCACCGAAGGCGAATCCAGAACTTGTAGTTGTCGTCGTAGCAGGTTTAACGGATCCAAATAGAGTTGAAGTCGTCGAAGTGGTTACTGCAGCAGTTGAAGAACTAGCTTCCGTAGTAACTGCAACAGCTGAATCAGCCGTCGATGTTGCTGCAGAGTCTGCTCCACCAACATTGAAAGCGGATAACAAGCCACTGCTGCTGGAAGAGGTCGTTGTTGTTGCTGCAGGTTTAATTGTGCCGAAAATTCCAGTACCAGGCGCAATGATTGCCGTGGAAGTTCCAAATATATTGGAAGCAGTAGTTGCCTTCGCAGAGGAACCAAATGGACTCTGCGTTTTAGGAGCTTCCGCAGCGGTTGTATCCACCTTTTGAAGCAAATTTGTCAGAGCGGGGAAGGCCGTTTTGGCATCCTCATCGCTAGAACCAGTAGTTCCGAAACTGGGTGGTAAGGGTTCATCCTTTTTCACCTCGGGTTCCTTTTCTTTCAACACGGGACCCGGTTGCGGTGCCCCGAACGCTGTGCTTCCTCCGATAGCAGATCCGAACGAAAACGCTGGCTTACTGTTCGCAGCAGCGCTGAATGTCAGCACGGGTTTGCTGGGCTCCGAATTGCCATTGGTTGAACTGTCTGCTTTCGATATCGCCTGGATGGTAGTGCTGCCGAAGCCAAATACCGTCGTTTTCGGAGTGGGTTCCTGGTTCTCCTTGTCCTTCGAAGAGATGGTCGAGGTAACCTGAACGGGTTTTATGGTTGTGCTACCGAAAAGCGTGGTCTCCTTTGTAATGGGAACGTCTTGCGGAGCGGATGTTTGACCAAATGGCTGAAATGAGACGGAATCAGTTTAGTACGGAGGTTTGCAACACGTTACTGTACTGTCATTTTTCGTGATACAGCACAAGTAATTTCAGTTGATTTGCATTGGATCTTTAGTACACTGAGGCAAATAAACTTAAGAATTTCATAAGGCTCGACTTATGAACGACACATAAGGTCAGGTGGGAGCAAGAGTGCCACCCCCAATATTTTTGAAAATAAACATATTTTCAATGCTAACTCACCCATGAATCTATGAATGGTGTTCCTATGCAGCATTATAGAAAGTTCTGTCCAAAATGAAGTCTTTCAAATTGTAAAAAATAATTTTGTGCTGATAATCGAAATTATTTATAATAATTAGACATCATAATATAAAGACTTTAGAATTTCCAAATATTGTTTCCTACAATTCCTGCTAATCACTAATAATGATTAATTGAACCATCTATAACAAAGAATAGGTAAGATTGCCTATAATTGGTCAAAAATCATCTAGTTTGTTATGTATTGAATAATATTGTAAAATTAAATAGTTAAATTAAGTAAACAGTAACATCTGTTGCTAGCATAATCAAAATTCTATATTTATAAACATGTTCACTCAATTTAAGACGTATGGTCTTTTTATCCCATTAGGGTTGGCACTCTTGCCCCAATGCAGTTTCAAAAAAAGATTTGAGATGACATTTTGAAAAAATTGCAAACAACATTGCTGATGATGTATGAAGGCAATAATTTGAACTTGCAATACGGTGTAGAAACTCCTACAAATATCCACTATTTGGCATATATATCCTGTATATATCACCCCCACCAGATCCTAACACACGAAGGAAGAATAAAGAAAGCTACTCACCTTCGTCGGTTGTTTGAAGTTAAATACCGATGTTGCTGCACTGCTAGTTCCGCCAGCACCGAAAATCACAGCCGCTGCCGGTTTAGTAGTTGCAGCAGGGGATGGCGCTTGCATTGGTGTTGAACCAAACCCGAAACTCGGAGCTGCAGCAGAAGCTTGTTGCGCTACTGTTGCAACGGCAGCAGCAGCAGGTTTCGATCCAAAATTGGGTAAACCCGCTGCCTTAGGAAGCTCAAACGGCTTCGCTGGTTCCGCAGCAACGGGTTTCACAGTAGCAGCAGCACCAGCTGCCATGGAAACCGACTGTGAAGGGTACTTTGGTTGCGCTCTGTGCTTTTCCTCCGCTCTCCTGATCGGCGCGGCGTTGGGTAGTATCGAAACTGATGGTTTGGCAACCACTTCCGATTTGACCTTTTCCTTTTCAAGATTCAATCGACGAACTTCGTTACGTCGCTGCAGAACGACCTCCGAATTCAATCCAATCCGGTCTGGTCGACTGGGTTTGACGGTGACAACTTTTCTATTCTTCAACATGTCTCGCAGTGAGCTCATTTTGGCTTCGCTCAACCGCCGAGCGTCCTCCCGAACCTGATCGGCGATCGTCAATGAAATGATTGAATCCGTGAGAGAATCTACATTGTCCACGACCAGATCCTTTTTTCTGCCTTTTTCCAACCCTCGAATGCTTTCGCGCATGCCAAGTTTCGCCTTGATGTAGCTTAGCTTTTCACGTTGCCTGTTAAGAATCTCCTGCTGTTTGGAAAGCGTCTGGTACAGTACTTCCAGGCTTGGTACGTGCATCCGCCGTTTGGAGTTGATCCGACTCGCTTCCTGAATGCCAGACCATTGGGCATCGATTTGTTTGTTTACAATCTGCAGTTGATTTTCGTTTATGGCGAACATATTCTGCAGGCTAGCGAGCTGACGGCGACTCGATTGAGACATGGCATGCGTTTCCTGGAACTGGTTCGGACTGGGATGTTTATAGATGGCGTCCTTGCTGTTGGCTTCCGCTACCATGGCGAACGCTTCGTTCAGACCCAGCCGGAGGGCTTGAACGTCTGAGGTCAGAGATTCGGTGCTTTCCGCCGCTTGGACGCTCAGGTCTTGCAGTTCCTTCAAGCTTTTGATGATAGTAGTCGATTGTTCCTTGGACCCGATGGTGGTGTTTAGGTTCTTGCAACGCTTTTGAAGGTCGGTGAGTTCTCGCTCGAATTTTCGAATCTCTTCGGTGATCATCGTTCGAATAACCGAGTTCGTGTCGTCGGTTGACTCTTGCTTCTTTTGAACCTGCTTCGGAGGTTGCTGGGGGAGGGAAATAGGGCTGGGGGTTAGATTATGAAATTGAGATTCAGATATGTTCGCTTACCTTCGAAAGGTTGTCCGACGAACTAGAACGGCTCACATCGGCCGGAGGCGGAGGAGTGTAGGTTGGCGGAATTGTTACTAGCGGTTTGGAAGCTTCAGATGGCGGTTTTTGCTGTTGCTGAGGCGGTTGAGCGATGGTTGTTTTGAGTAACGAAGGTTGAGATTGCTGAGGTGGAGCAAAGGGTTTGCTTGGACCAACAAAAGACGGCACAGCACCGCTTCCGAAAGGCGTGGTTTTAGGTTGTTCAGCACTTGCGGCAAGTTGCGGCACCGAGGCAAAAGTAATCGGCTTACCAAATGTAGGAGCTATCGCTGGAGCCACTGATGCTGGAGCTGCGGCTCCGCTGGTTGGCAATCCGAAGAGATTTGCAGGAGATTTGCTTTCATTTGGACTGAAAAATGACTTTGCCTTGGTTACAGCTGGAGTTGATGTCGCTCCGGCTGGAACTGTGAAGGTTATATCAACTGGTGCCGGTGCTGATTGCCTACTGACATCTACTTTTTCGAATTTTCCAGATGTATCTGCTGTAGGCCTCGGTGGACAGCAAATGTTCGGAGCGTTCGGCATAAGGTTCAGCACGTTGAAGGACACCAACATCCCATAGGTGGATAGAAGATGAATCATTGGCATCACTGGGTATATCTGCTCTGCGATGGTAACCTGATGAGTGCAACCAGTTTCAAGAGCCAACCCTATCGGTAACGTTTCTTGTTTATCCAACGACAATGGAAGCTCCGCTCTTGCCTCGTCCGTAGTCGTCCACTGAAGCCAAGTCGGTGCCTCTCCTGTTTCTGTCGTTCCTAGAATCCCCACTTCCATGCTGTTTGCTGATGCCATCAATAGCAGATTCCATTGCAAGATGTGAACCAGAAACACCTGACCTTTCCTTGGTCCGCTCTGGCTGTAACAAATATCGTCATAGTTTATAAAAGTTGGGTTTCCGACTTTCGGTGCATTCACTATGAACAATGATGGAACGCTATCCTCTCCATGCGGCAAATAAACTGCTGCAAACTGATAGGTAGACAACCATTGCACGGCTATCACATCAAAACTTCCTTCCATTACTCCCGGAGGACAGACGATCGTTCTTGCAGGTTTGAGGTCCGGCTTGTACTGCATCAACTTTCCATTGGCGAATCCAACCACCAGTTGCTTTCCCTTAGGACTCCAGCAAGCACAAATCGCTCCTTCACTCTTATCCAACGAATGAAACTCAATTCCGCTGGGTTCCTTCAGTGTGTACACAGAAAGGGCACCATTTTCCGTCCGAACGGAAAACATATTGTGTATGACGGGGTTCCATAGGATTTGAGTGCTCCTAACTCCTCCTTCCGCAGACGTTCGAATTTCATTCAACTTTACAATAGACGGCGTGAGGAATGAGGGAACCGAATACACCTGGATGATCGGAACTCCACTCACGACGACGTCCACTGCGAGGAATCCATGATCGGAGCTGACTGCCATCTGGAAGGGTTCACTCGGAAGCGGAACCGTTCGCAACGGGATAATCTCATCGATTACTTTATCGGGGGTTATGTCCTTCAGTTGTAAAACTGCAATGTAAACAAAATTAAACCTTTGGTTTCCGCTGCCAACCCCGAGGCACTTACCCTTCAACTGCGGTCCTGTTGTACCGACGAAAATCAACCCGTGAACGCTGGCTGCCGCAAGCAAATTGCATCCGTCCCTTGCGTTCCCATCTCCCTTGTAAATCGGAACTTTGCCTTGGAGCATAAATTTCAGCTCCTGTTCCCGAAAAAACATAACCTCATAAAATATGCTTTCCGTTTTCCAAACATAAAATAATTTCATCGCAAAAAACAACCCTTACCGTCACGTCTGTTCCTGTTGGCGCCGGGGTAGCCATCGTGAGTGATCCTTTTCACTGTTGATGTTTGCTTCAAATTGATTTTTTTCTTCGAATATCACGGTTTCTCACGTAAATGCACAGTAATTGCGACTGGACTGATGCCGAACGAAGGAAAGAATGCAATCAAAACAACATTCGATAGCCGCGGCGGTGGCGGCGTTCGGTTTGTGACAGCTGAACGAGTGTTGCCATCAAGGCATCACTCGATGGTGTCGGCTTCCGGGAAAATGAATAAATAAATAAAAATAAAAATTAACCTTCCTCCTACGGATGGGCCGTTTGCGACACGTAAATTAATTATTTTATTCATGTGCTTAGTTAGAATTTCACTCATTTTTATTACCGAATTTCCATGTAAAATTCCAAATAAACAGAATTCACTCAGGGGTACACATGAAATTTATGTGTCAAATGTATAATAGTATCATAGAGGTAACTCCATAACAACAAAAAAAATGTAATATCGATCAATGTAATTCAAGCTGATGTATGAAATAATGATGTAATAGCAAAAAGCAGATACAATATTACATCAATGGATGTAATTTTGTTCGCAAAATCGATGTAAAGGGTGATACGGTCAAAATTTGGTCAAGGGAAAACGCGTGTAAATCGGTGAAATCGTTTATTTAAAAAATCAAATTAAATTTCTTTTTCAAGTTCAATTAGTATAAAATTCAGGAAAAATATTCAGTTAGGCTTCCGCTTTTCCAAATCCGAATTGCCGGGCCTTACGCTTGACCCCTGCCATCAGATTTTGTACAGCCACCTTGTCCACCTTCTTCGCCGCAGAAAGCCAGTTTGCCTTGAACTGCTGCTCGCCCTTAGCAGTTTTTTTGGTCTTCTTTAGGTTCCGCTTGACAATAGCCCAGTATTTCTCAATTGGGCGGAGCTCTGGCGTGTTGGGAGGGTTCTTGTCCTTGGGAACCACCTGCACGTTGTTGGCGGCGTACCACTCCATGGCAAGATGCCAAATCCGGCCAAAACAGTACGGAACAACCGTGTTTCTTCAGGAAAGGCAGCAGACGTTTATTCAAACACTCTTTCACGTAAATTTCTTGGTTGACAGTCCCGGAAGCTATGAAAATGCTGCTTTTCAAGCCACAGGTACAGATGGCTTGCCAAACCAGATATTTTTTTGCGAACTTTGACAGTTTCATGTGCTTGAAAACATCTGCTACCTTTCCCCTTCCTTTTGCCGTATAAAACTCCTGTCCCGGAAGCTGCTTGTAGTCGGCTTTGACGTAGGTTTCGTCGTCCATTACCACGCAGTCAAACTTCGTCAGCATCGTCGTGTACAGCCTCCGGGATCACGCTTTGGCCGTCGTATTTTGTTTATCATCGCGATTTGGAGTCACTACCTTCTTGTAAGTCGATAGTCCGGCTCGTTTTTTGGCTCGATGCACGGTTGTAGACGATACACCCAGCTTATTTGCGGCATCTCGGAGAGAGAGGTTAGGGTTTCGCTTGAAACTACCGGCAACTCTCTTTGTCGTCTCAGCGGCTTCCGGTTTTCGATTTCCCCCCGATCCAGACTTCCTGGCTGTCGACAAACGTTCCCCAAACACTTTAATTACATTTGTAACGGTTGATTTGGCAACTTTTAGCGATTTTGTCAACTTTGCGTGCGAGTAGCGATGCGCGAGCAAAATTTTGATACGCTGCTCTTCTTGCTTGGACGGCATTTTGACAACTGAAGAGTGAATTCCAAAATCAAAATAGGAGCAACATTCTACACACACACACCTTTAAAATGAGGGGTGTTCAGGTTTTTTAAATGCAAAATTGAAAGAAATACGTCAAGTTGATATTGACCAAATTTTGACCGTATCACCCTTTACATCGTACAACGTTATATTACACAACCGATGGATTGACCTGGTTGCAGCAGTTTGGATGTAATATTCAACAACTTTTTTTTCTGTGTAAGACCAGAAGGTCCCGAAGAAACGAGCTCAACTTTTTGGCTCAGCTCTGGTACTTTCTTCGGTTCTAAGCTAATCGATTCACCCCTGGAAACATAGGAAAATCCACTAATCCCTCATTTTATCTGTCAAACTTTCATAGCTAATCAAAACAAACATAGTGTAGTACTGGAAGTTATACAAGAATGGGGTACGTTAGTCGATTTGCTTGGGACCAATAGGCTAGTCAAGTAGTGAGCCAATTTATAATCGTTAGTTTTGTGTTGATTGTTGGTAGTATGGTCACACATGGCTATTATGTGTACACTAAAGAGACTGAATTGGGTAAAGAGGCGACATCTTATCTATTTGACAGGTCTTTTGCTCGACTGGAATAACTTTTCCTATGACTTTGACAGATAATCCATTGTTCCAATTTTGACGTGTTGTCTCTTTATAAATTCAGACTCCTAGTTTTCATCAAGTGTACACATATTAAGTATGTGTTCGACACATAGGTATCATTTGTTGATCACATTGCAAAAATGCATGTGTGGGACCTAGATCCTTGCTCTATTTTCGTCAGCCCGGTGGCAGGCTCGTAGGCAACATTGTATACGGTGACAGCGGGCCCAGTACAGCAAAACAAACGATTTGGGCCCCGGACATGCTGCCTACTGTCAAACATAGCTGTTAGTATAGGCCTTGTCACCGGCCTGATTTTCGTCAACACGACACACTCAAAAAAATCCCTTCAATTACGTTTTTCCACGAAAATCTCAAGTAATTACCTAGAGGTGAACTAGCCTAAGGCTAAAAATCTCTTTAATAAAGCTTAAAAAAAAATCCCTGGCTTTGTATCATTTTTATTTTTAGCTTTATTATATGAATAAACTTCATCGCAGATGTTTTTTTTTATTAAAAATACTGCCCTCATACTTTTAATCCGAAGTTGCGAGTGAGTTGCGATGCAAAATTACGTTTGCAAAGGAAGTTTAAAGTGCTGCCAACCAAAACATTGCATTGGTTTTCAGTCGAATAGGAAATAGAATGGATAAGAGATAATCAAATCTTTCACATCGCTTTCTGGTTTATAAACATTTCAGACAGAGGGCTTTTTCAAATGTTGATGTAGAATTTCAATGATTATTTTCCCGGGATAAGCTCTCCTTGCTTGGCCGATGGGGCAGTCCTCATCGCACCTCGGTTGTTTTAAAATTAACGAACGACCAGGTCACAACAAACAGCATTAAAAAATAGTAACGGTACACCCACAACACCCACTGGCGCGGCGGTGGCAGAACTTTCGTGTGTAACGGAGTTTTACAGCTGTTTTCTGCTTTGTTGTGCTTTTCGTGTCCGCGTTCGAAAAGTAGAGAAATTTAAATATTCTTCACCAGGTGCGTGTTTATTGCCATCCTTGTAGTAATCCTGACAATTTAATGGATAATATTGTTGAATGATTCATGACAAAGAAAATAGTAACTGTTGTTTACTTACTCCACGATCATAACTCAAAGTGTACTTCTAGCTCTCTTCATTGTTAAGCTCTGTTGTACCTATTGCTTACGTTTCTGTGCTTGTGATAGCTTTTCAAGCGCAGTAATGTTATTTCGACGATTGTTTTCACCAAGAGGAGCCCAATTCCGCATAATTACTCGGAGTAACTATACCAGCAGAGGAGAGTTATATAATGTAAGTTTCTCGAGTTTGATGCGTAGTTAAACCTTATGTTAGATTCTTCACATCTTTAATTGCTGCTTTAGAAATGCTACCGCACACTCGGAGTAACTGATCAGTCCGATCAGAACACAGTCCGTCAAGCCTACATTGCCATGGTGAAGAAAGTTCATCCGGACAGTGGTCACCCGGAGGCAAATGTGGAGAAATTCCAAGAGGTAGATGCTGCCTTTCGGATTCTTCAGCAAAAGTTTGCCAAATCACGTCGGGGAATCGTCGAAGATATGCAGGATAAGGTTAAGGTGTTCGACATTCGCCATACGGCTCCTCAGCACCGGCAATATCTGAACTTTGATGGGGTGGGCGTCGGGACACCCGCACAACGCCAGAAACAGTATCAAGCGTTTCGTGCTCAGCGGGCACAGGAACGAGTGTTGGAACACCGTATGTCCAAAGCTCAAGCGTCGGAAATGGCGCTGATGAAGAAGGGCGACTACTTTAAGAAGCACGAGATCAAGACAAAATATGGGTACGACAGAGTGGTGGAAGATTTAATACAGGAAGCAATGTCTCGAGGGGATTTCAGTAATCTGTCCGGATTTGGAAAACCGCTGCCGGATCTGCAGAGCCAGAATCCGTATGTGGATTTTACAACGCATAAAATAAACAAGATTATGCTGGACAATGGCTTCACACCGGAGTGGATCACGTTGCACAAGGAAATTCGCGAAGAGAGCGAGTCTTTAAAACGAAGTTTAGCAAAGGAGAGAGGTAAACTGGGTACGATTCCGTTGACTGCTCAAGATGAGCACAAGTGGGAGAAGGCACTAGAGGCACATGAACGACTTGCTGGTAGTGTCAATAAGAAGATAGATAAATTCAACCTGATTGTACCGGTGTTGAATAAGCAGATGTTAAGGCTGGACTTGAGGCAAATGGCAAGTAAAGTTTTGGAAACCGAAAAGCATAAAGAACAAATTCGAAGAGAAGAGGAGCTGCTGTCGCCGATTAATGATCCGAAGGAAGCGAACAAAGCGAACATTTTCAGTTTTCTCGGGTCTCTGTTGAAGTAGCGGAGTGGGGAGAGGTAAGTGCTCTTGGAGGTTGTACATAGAGTTGTGTATACTATTCAGAGCAGTATATTTTATTTGGATGACAGCTCCCGACTATGTTGTTGAATGTTGGAAGTTCATGGGTCTCTTCTTTTTTTTTCTACTGAGAACCAATTGCTCCCGAAGGCGTGATCAGAAATTTTATGCCTAAGAAAATCCCGGCGGCGCCGACTGGGATTGAACCCAGGCCCTTTGGGGAGAGAGGCAATCACGCTTACCACTACAACACCGGCGCCGCTTATGGGTCACTTCTTGTGGATGTTACTATTACTTCTCGGGAAAGATGAAAGTCTTTCAAGCTGGCCATTTGCACCACTGAAGGAGCACTGGATAAGTAAGTGTAGATTTTGACTTCATATTCAAAGCGCCTCTAAATGTTTATTATGAACAAGGGTGTAATCAGGTTTCAAAATAGGTTGGGGATTGGGATAAACTCTCGAATGAAGTGATAATATTGCAAAGGAAAAGAAATCTGCTTCAAAAAATCATTTAATAGGAATGTTGAAAACAATTTCTTCAAGTCTGCAATTTTTAATCGGAATATCGCAAATTGATGTTTCATAACTCAAAAATTATGATGAAGTATTGAAAGTGGGTTGTTAGCGGAATGCTTAAATAAAACAGCAAAAAAGGTTATCTTCCATTTAATTCCACCAAATTAATTTTGGTATCCATGACGGATACGTATTTCGACTACATGTACGTTGTAATGGATACCAAAATTAATTAAGTGGAGTTAAATGGAAGATAACCTTTTTTTATCAAAAAATATGCTTTTCATTATTTTATCTTGAAATCTTTTCTATGCATGAGTATTCAAAAGTTTTCTCCGAAGTCTTAGAATTATTTTCAAATATGAATCTTGATTTTTTAATTCTGTGTGTGGGATCATCAATTTTTGGTTTATCTTGGAACTTTTCTCCGATCTTTTTCAAGGATATCTTTAAAATCATCTGAGAAGTCCATCTTGGTATGCGTAATTATCTTGGTCCATCTTTGTATGGTTGTTATCTTCAAAATACTCAAGGGTTTTTTTACATACAACTCTTTAAATTAATTCTGCAATTTGCATTGAATTTTCACATTCTTGAAACTTTCCTCATAATTTTAAAAGTATTTGCATAAAACTTCAAAGGAACATAAAATGTTATTCAGAATTCTAGTTTGAGTTTTCATGAAATTCTCCTAGGAGTTTCATTAGAAGACATATTCCATATTGTATTTAATTTCACGAAACCGAGATACTTGTAAACAATGTTGTTTGCAACATTATGCTTTTGTATACAATATTTGATACATTGCATGAAATGTCTCAGAACTTTATATGATTTTTTTTTTTTGTTAATTACTTTATTTGTACAGGCTCATTCGAATAAACTTTACAGAGCCAAGTTATCATTTTCTTTATACATTATAAATGTCTTAAATCTAAAATTAAAGGATTGGAACCGATTACTCGCGGTCTTCTCGAGGTTAGTGGATGACAATTGTTTGGATCGGGAGAGGGAAAAGGAGATTTGGAATATGATTTATGATTAAAAAATTACACTATTTCTAAAACAAATACTTAATCCTATCGACGTTATATCAACTCTGTAATTATACAATTATTACAGAAACAAATCTACAAAAAAAATACACACACACATACAAAACACAAACTAAACACAAGGTTAATCAAACTTACAATCTATGGTTAATATTCTTCAAGAAAACATATATGAGTTGCATAAACTCCAGATCGCGTCTAGCCAAAATATCCCGAACTGGAACATTAGGTTGTCTACCTCGAGCCCGAAGGGAATCATACAACTCGGATCTGACTCCACGGTGCTCAGCACATGACCAAATAATGTGATCTGCGTCCTGGTAACCTTGTCCACATTCACAGAGATTACTGTCGCCCAGCTCAACACGGAACAAGTGAGCGTTTAACGAGTAGTGATTGGACATGAGGCGAGACATCACACGAATGAAGTCTCGACCCACCTCCAAACCTTTGAACCAAGGACACTTCGACACCTTAGGGATGATTGAATATAACCATCGTCCCAAACTCCCTTCACTCCATTTATTTTGCCAGCTGGCGAGGGACTGTTGACGATAAATGAAGAAAAATTCGTCGTAGGCGATTTGTCGATCGTAAATATCGCCTTCCATAGCGCCCACCTTTGCAAGCGAGTCCGCCTTCTCATTGCCCGGAATCGAGCAATGAGATGGGACCCATGCAAAGGTGATGACAAAAGATCTTAAAGATAAAGCACTTAGAAGCTCTCGTATTTTCATGAGAAAATACGAGGAGTGCTTTACCGGCCTCATAGAGCGAATAGCCTCGACAGAACTGAGACTATCCGTAAAAATAAAATAATGATCTGGTGCAAGTGAGGCGATCATTTCTAGCGTATAGTATATTGCCGCCAGTTCAGCAACATATACGGAACAAGGAGCTTGAAGCATTCGAGAGGCGCGAACTTTATATGATATATAATGTAAACTTATATGATATGTGACGCTCCATTTATGTGCATCATACTGAACAGAAATTTAAACTACTTAATTTTCTTCAGTTTTCTCTTGGAATTTTTCTCAGGACTACCTTTCATTAGTCCTTAGAATTCAATTGAAGCTCTCCTCGTTGAATTTCTCCTCAGAACTACCCTGGAACTCTTTCTAAAACTCCCTTGGAATGCTCTTGAGCATTAACCAGGAATCAAAAGGTCATCTGAATTACCTTGGAAGCACTCGTTAGATTTTGCTTGACCTGCTTAAGTTAAAAAATCTTTAACAATTTCCAAGATTAATTTTGGTCTTTGTCTTCTAGATGGCTAGTTATCTTTATGTGAGAAATTTTCAGTCGTGGGTTGTTTGGTCCCTCTAAGGTTATGGAGATCCTTCATAGTCCGAAATCGTCTTGGATCTTATTTAATTCATTTTCAAAGTCCAATCCTGTTCCTTACAAAATGTCTATGAAATTTAAAACATCAGTGGCTTTGAAAAGCTTTCAACATCTTAGGTTTAGAACAAATTGAGAATTCACTTGGATAGTTTGTTGTGAATCACAACTTGTGATCTTAGAATTAAATGTTTGGAAATTCATCAAATCACAAAATTACCAAAACTCTAAAAATTATTCACTAACAGTAGTAAGAGGGCGCATTTCCCCTCAATGCATCCCTCTGGCTATGCAAGCTCTAGCACTGATCATTGATGCCAACTTAACCAAGTCGCAATACTTGAAAATCCAAGTAGACGCAAAAATTAGAACTGTGATCCTTTATCCGTATTTGTTTATTTGTTTATTTGTTATGGTTGCATCAACAGACTAGAAATAGTCCCAATGATGTGTTGTAAAAAAAGTACAGATTATACAGACGACATACATATACTACAGTTACTACAGTTACAAACGAAAATAACTTGGAAAGCATTGTCAAGTTACTAAAAATTAAATTTTACACTTAGCTGTTGGGTATCAAGCGCCTTCGGTCAGCAAAAAAGGCAGAGAATCTTCGGCGAAGCATATTCCGTGTCAAGTGGAAATCGAACATCGACGCTACTCGGTTGAACACTAGCTGCAAGCCGTAAATAGCGCTCCCTATGCTATAATTAGTTCGAAGAAGTGGAAGTCTCAGCATAAGACTGTTGCGTAGTGATCGAGGTTGAACATTAATGTTCACTTGTTGCAGAATTGCTTCGCAGTCGATTCTTCCTTGCAGAGTATCGGCGACGGTTAAGGCTCTGAAAACATCTCTTCGGATACGTAAGGGCTCGATATTGATCAATTGGCAGCGATTCTCGTAGCTTGGAAGACGAAGTGGGTGTCTCCAAGGCAGCTTACGGAGCGCGAAGCGAAGAAAACGTCGTTGAACAGATTCAATTCGCTCGGCCCCATTATTGTAGTTCGGGCTCCAGACAGCAGAGCAGTATTCCAACGTAGATCGTACGAGAGAGCAATAGAGCGATTTCAAGCAGTAAATGTCCGTGAAGTTCTTAGTAATCTTGAAGACAAAGCCAAGCGTTCTGGACGCTTTGTCGACGACATACGATATATGGTGTGAGTATGTCAGCTTTGAGTCTAGAAAAACGCCTAAGTCTTTCACGCAGTGCACCCGTTCGATAGTCGTGCCTAGTAGTTTGTAGTTGAAAATAATCGGTTGTTTCTTGCGTGAGAAAGTAATAACTGTACACTTAGCTGGGTTGACCACCAGTCGGTTTAGACTACACCAGTCAGCAAAGATGTCAATCTGATTTTGGAGAGAACGGCAGTCGGCGAGTGAGCGGATGCGCAGAAAAACTTTCAGATCGTCTGCAAACGATAATCGTGGCTCTGTGATAACATGGTGAACGTCGTCGAAGTAGAGGAGAAATACCAATGGTCCCAGATGGCTGCCCTGAGGTATACCGGACTTTGCGCAGAAGCTAGCTGAGCGACAAGTACCCAAAGTTACTGTCAATTGGCGCTCCGTGAGGTATGAACGAAACCATCTCAAAAGATTTCCACCGATCCCTAGCCTATCAAGCTTAGCGATCGCAATTTCGTGGTTCAGCTTATCGAAGGCTGCCGTAAGATCTGTGTAGATAACGTCCGTTTGGGTCCGAGCAATCAAACTGTCTGTGATGTAGGACGTTAGGCACAGCAGGTTCGTAGTTGTGGAACGCCCAGTTATGAATCCGTGTTGATCTGTACTTAGATATTGCCTGCAATGCGCATTTAGGGACTCTATGACAACCAATTCAAAAAGTTTTGATACAGCACTCAGCGACGTGATTCCCCGGTAGTTGTTTACGTCGCGTTTGCTTCCCTTTTTATGAACAGGAAACATATCCGCAGTCTTCCAGCAAGACGGAAAGATGCCGCTGGAAAGAGAGAGCTGGAATATGCGGCGCAGTGGATCTAAAAGACAAATGATGTTCTTTTTAAGAATAATCGACGGAACACCATCGGGTCCAGCCTTAGTTGAAGTCTTAAGTTTAGATGCTGCTCTAGAAATC